AATAAAGCTTTTCAAAAAATTTTTTGACCAAAAAGTAAAATAATCAACTCTAACCCTGAGGGGGGGGGGGGGTAATCAAAACAACAATATAAACTTACCAATATCACAGCATTTAATTTAATTCGACACGTGGGGATAAAGATTACAAAATTATCCACAAAACAACGCGCGCGGTGAAATTTGAACAGTCAAAGTCACGGGAAAACATGCACCAACCAAAACTTAATTACATTCCCTTTTCCATAGAGAGCCAGAAAAGTTACCGATTTTAATCCGAATAAGTAAAAGTTTAACTCCTTTGGGGGTTAAAAGTGGTCATTGCAACGGTGCACTGAAAAAAGTGGTCCTTTTCCTAGCCACTTATACACTACTACTGCAGTATGTACTACTGCAGAAGTTTCTCCTCACTACGGCGAAATAGTAAGGATAATCTGGCTTGAAGAGAATGACCCGTCCATGAGTTGATCAACTTACGGAAGCTGATCCAAGCCGATTAACCATTGATTAGGTGAACCCATCCGTGGATCCGCTCATCGAGAGCACGAGCAGATCCAGGGCAGAAGAGGTTCTTTCATCCCCATTGGCATTCATCGACAAAAGTGATCCCCGGTAGCCCGTCTGGCAAAACATCCTTCTCTAGAACCTTTTTCAGTTCTCTTTTGATCAATTCATCATCATTCCACGTGTTTTTTTTCCAGAGGCCTTGTCCAACCCGGGTCGAGATCCCGCTCAAAAACCGCTCAAGATATGAGCGGTTTGAGCGGTTTTTCAGCAAGATTTGAGCGGTTTGAGCGGTTTGGGCGGTTTGGGCGTTTTTTTTGGAAAAACCGCTCAAACCGCTCAAATCTTGCTTAAAAAACCGCTCAAAAACCGCTCATTTATAAGATACCATTGCATAACAAAACTGAATCAATAGAACAAATACAGCGAAAATTAAAATTCCAGCAAGTCCGCATAGCCTAACGGATAAGGCGTCTGACTTCGAATCAGAAGATTGCGGGTTCGAATCCCTCTGTGGTCGACTTTTTATTATAAAATCTTGCGCGGTTTTTGAGCGGTTTTTTTTTAGATAAACAGCTCAAAACCGTTCAAATCTTGCGCGGTTTTTGAGCGGTTTTTTTAGATAAACCGTTCAAAAACCGCTCAAACCGCTCATTTAGAAGCAAGATTTTGAGCATAATTGTCTAAAAAAAACCGCTCAAACCGCTCAAATCTTGCTTCAAATTAGGTGAAAAATCTCGACTCGGGAAGGTAAAAGATTCTAGTAATTTTGGGGTGGTAAACCGAAAGATCCCCTTCGACATCCTTCTAGCCCTCTCTCTCTCTCTCTCTCTCTCTCTCTCTCTCTTCTCTCTTTCTCTCTCTCTCTCTCTCTCTCCTCTCTCTTTCTCTCTCTCTCTCTCTCTCTTTCAAAACACCCTGCTCGTTCGAGTTCAGCAGCCTGCCGTCCCGGCTACTTATTGCTTATAGGCAGCGACCTTTAGGTCCGGGGGAAAGAAAAAATTACCACTGGGCGATGCACACAGATCCGACGAGCTCTACGAGATCAATCACTAGCCTAAAAGAATATATGAACGCATTGACAAACATAGATACGTGAGCACTGAAAATTACTCTTTTTATCAAAAAATTGTTTTCAGCTATTGGCTGTTTATTCCAAGAAATGGGAACCACCTTGGGGGCTGCTGGTTCTGGAGCCTGAGCTTGCACGCGACTTTCAGGGGTCTTCATCTTTACTGCTTTCGCACCTATCGAGACACCCCTGATGCAGCTGGGGTGGCTGTTAAACCTTGGTAAGGTACGTACGATGTTGTTGCATTTTTGGGGAGAATTCAAGCCAGATGAAGCTGGCTCTGTGGGGTCCTTTGATCCATACTGTAAGCCATTTGGTCGTCGTTATTTCTCTGAATAATACGATTTTCTCACTATGTGCACGAGCTCTTGTCTGTTGCTTCTGGTTACTTTGACCTCTACTTTCTCTAGCTATCTATTCAATCTCTAAGCATGGGGATACTCCATCTACGAAGGTTTTAACTAACGAAGGTTTTCCTGTCAAGGAGGTCACGATCATCCAGCAAATCAAGTAATAATGCAGATTCGGTGAGATTGCAAAATTTTGCAAAATTTCAAAAGAACCATTTGCTTTGTGAAATACTCAAGGATGTTTTTTCTTTACAAAAATTTATATCAAATTTTTGACTTCTGATATTCTGTGTTTTGATTTTTGATAAAACATTCCAGGCAGACTAATAAATTGCTCTACTGAAGCAACAAAAAGTCAATCATTTCTAGATTCCAAACAAGAGTGCTCGTATCAGCGCAAAGCCCTGAATGTTTATGGAGGAGTAATAACCTGAAAAAAATAAATGTAAAAAAAATAGAAAGGAAATTTTTTTTTATTTTGAGATTTTTTTGTGAAAATCATCCACCACACGCCATTTAAAGCACAAAGTGATAAATTTTGCTCCTAGTAACAAATCAGTAAAAGCAAATAAGCTTCCTTCTACCAATTTGGAACAATTTCTACGACGGATTAAACCTCCGCTTACGCGTTAGTAGCGCAAAATATATCGCGCGTTAATAGCAATCTTTAAACCCCCATAACTTTACGATAAACGATCACAAAAAAAATTAATTTTTCAAGCCTAAGCTCAGGACAACAATATCTTTCGACTGACGTAAAATATTCCGTCAAAAATGGCTAGTTAAAAAGTCGAAATTTGTCTGAAGAAAAACCCACCCGAGCACAAACATTCCGTTACTTTCGCTATGAAACTCGGAGCAATAACTTTCTCAAGATAATTGAGGTGTAAGCTTATAGATTAAGGACTGAGAGAGAGGTTAATAATACTACGGCCGATTGTTTTGCGGGCTCATCAATTTAGTTCGATTAAAAATGTGTGTCGTAGAATTCTGTGCAGTTTCTGCAGATGATAGTTCACATATTGAGGCGTTAATCATAACAGGCGGCAGTTCTTAACAGGCTGCAATTCTTGACAGACGACATTTCGAAAAGCTAGATTAAGCGATGATTACTGATTCACGCGACGTGTTCCTCTTGTCCCGGATGCAAGCGAAGCGAAGCGAGCGTATAATACTTGCAACTGCCGCCGCCTAACAAATGGTCGCTCGTTACGAATTGTAGCTTCTTACGAATTGTCGCCCTAACATAATTCAGTCGTAACGAATAACATAGGGGTCATTGCAATTTGTGCAGTTACTAAAAACTTTTTGAAGTTTTCTTATGTCTCCAAGTTTTCAAGGCAAATTTTTCTGGTCGAAATCATTTTTTTATTATGATCAAACATTTGTATACAAACGGCCATTTGACAAATAGAGAAGAGTCAGCAATCAAAATAAAATATTGAAATGGGAAATTTTACTCATCAATTTACTCAAACTGCCTTTTAGTTGACAACGAAATGCTTTCTGAAGATGAAGACAAAAAAAATTATACTCGGCCAAACAGCAAGTGTCCAAGTTTGAGTGAGAACGAAATTATTATTAGCAATAAGCTTGCTTATAATCAATTTGCAGCGTTTTGTAGTGCGGGATAATTCGGCCCACATTCAAATTAAGTCAGCAATATAAATCAAATTTTTGCGGCATGAATTTATCATTTAATGGTCCAGAGCAGGGCCAATTTGGCAATTTTCAAACCCCCAGAGCTTTGCACAAAGCATACTCGAAGAGAAAATACCTTTTCAGATTTGAACTCAGGGAGTCTGTTTTTCCAATGTGGTATGAACTAGTACTTTGATCACCGAAAAATAAAAATGGCCAAACAAAAAACCACCCCAATTGAAAAATATTCTTCATTTGTTAATTTAAGCCTCAAAAACATAGGTTACTCAAATAAGTTTTCGTTTTTGGAATTTGTCTGCTACTTTTTAGTAGTCAAAAATTTTTCCAATTTTTTCAAAATTCCAAAAATCTCAGCAAAAAGATTCCAAACAAATTTTGAAACACTTTCATTAATTGTTCACGATTTTTTTTGTTTTTCTCATATTTACAAAAACCTTCTTCTAGTTTGCCAGTTTTAGTAAATCTGATGGCTTCAACTCATCGCATGCTGCTTGCAAATTTTGAATTTATTGAACTTATTTATAAAAATTAAGGCAAGGGATTTTTATTATAATGAATTTTATATACTTTTAATTTGCTAAACTGCAATTGGAGACTGACAGTAAATGATCTTCAACATGATTATTATCCATGGACGTCTAGTGCGGCTTAAGCTTGAAGACTTTGAGTCAAATTATTTCAAATTTTCAAATTTGCTTTCTGTACAAGTGTCTCATTTTTTAGCTGTTTTTTTTTCAACGCTCCATTGTATTATCATAATGGGCTTCAAAATGGAGCTCAGAATGGGCGTGGTGACAGTTGGTAGCATATAGAAAAAGCGGCAATTTGTCGCATGGGATATTTAATTAGGGTTCATCGCTTAGTAGTTCCCTAAATAGCTCCATTCATATCCCACGTCCATCAAAATATGGCTGTTGTTTTTTGCTGTGCGTTCCTAAATCAATATATTCATCATTAATCCTCTATAAATAATAGAAAACGACACTGCAAAGAACCCTAGTTTTTTTAAATGCTCCAGTTGACATGATTGAGGCTGCGAAGATTGTTCATGTGGAATTCTTTCTTGAACCTCTTAAGTTTCCAAATCAAGTGAAAACAACTGTCGACGAAAGTGCACAGAAATTGCTTCTGCTTTTTATCTTGTCATTTGGATTTTGTTTTTTTTTCACTGTGATTTTGTTCATAAAGAAATATGCGCGTTCCGTTATGCCTATTGATCTTTATGCTCAAAGTCACGCGATACTTGAAGTGGAGCGAAATAGCAGGTGTAACTTCTTGTATAATTAGTCTTGATGAGTTTTTTTCCACTTTTCCAATCCCATGAGAATTTGCAATTTCCTCTCAAAAAAGATTATTTTTCCATTTTTCGTTACCTATCTTGCCTTTATTGAAGTATATGTGGTATATTTAGGATGCTATCAGGCCCTTGTAACACACTTCATAACTTTGCACCTTTGGGCATGAAACAAAAAACGAGTTAGGGCTCAGGTTCGATTAGTTGTAAAAGTCAAGTTATAAATTTTCTCCTTAAAGAACCCCAAACAGCAACTCTGCGACGCCAATATTTGAGTTAAAAACATCTTATTTTGAATCTAATATTTAAATCGCATCGTGTTTTTGTCGATGGTCCTTCACTTCATGTTTGCATTGTGGTAAATTATTAATTTTGACTCAGAAAATTACGCTTGGCATCTGTTTTTGAGAGAAACGACAAAATACACTGACATGTGTTTTCTGTGGTAATATATTCTCGTGCGCTGGTTCAAGCATAATTACAAAATGCATTATTGTTGGTCTGAAAGTACCTCTCAAAAACAGTGAGTATAAATTTCTATTTTCCGAAAATTGTTTTTCTATAAAAGAAGAGGGCTTATATGGAACTTGAGCCAGAGAATGCTCCAATTGGGCCGAAAAATGTGACTTCTACTTTCAAAATTTGAAAAGTTGATTGTTTTTTTTTTTCGTTTAAAGCATCACTAGAAAGAGCAGCAAATTTCGGATATCTTGTTAACTACAACCCCCCTTGCAAATTGAGCAGCATTTCTAATTAGATATTTTTTAGAGAAGATAGGGCAGGGGATTTAATTTTTGCAGCTACAAAAATCCATTTTGCCGTAAAGTATTCTCTCCATTATTTTTAACTGAAATATGATCGATCTCCAATTATTGGGAATGTGTCGAAATGGATATCTTTGGATCGTCCTCGAGTTGCCTGTCACTAACATTCTGAGTTTGCACTCAATTCCATTTGCTTTTAAAGCCCTTTTTTGAATCATTTTTTGCTATTTTTTGTGCAGCAAGGTGTGAAAATTTCATTTTAATAGTTAAAACCCGATAAAAATGAGGGTTAAGAAAAAAGTCCATCCTTAACCATTTTTTTTAAACATGAAAAACTCAAAAAATGAAAATTTTTTATGAGCACAATTTTTTGAAAAACAAAAAATTACAAAAAAAAGGGAAAAAAATTTTTGGAAAAAACTTTTTTTTTATTAAAAAATTGATTAAAAAAATAGAAATCGATTTAATTATTTTTTATTTGCTTCTCTAAACCTGGATTCAAGGGCTCTCAATTTTTGCATTAGATAGTATTCCCTAAAAAATTGTCATGATTAAAAAGTTATCGAACTTTTTCGCGCTACCATGTCGCTACTACTGGTACATTCTAATAAAAAAATTTTATGATTTGTTATTTGTTTTACTGAGCTTTCAGTTATGAAATCCACAGAAAATTTTAAAAATTATACTTGGAAACAGCTTTCAGAAAAACTATTACTTTTGGTGCGCCAGGAAAAAATTCGATGTCAAGTTTGTCAATAAAATTTCAAATTATCAAACATTTCTTATGATTTGCGCCTGGCCTATAACAGTTATAAACTGTTCTGAAGAACTTATTGCCAGATACCTGTCAACATAAACAGAAGGCTGTTTTTTATTATAGTTAATTAACTTCCCAATTTCAAATAATTTGAGTGCAATGTTTGAGTGCAATCCTTGCCAAAGTTGGATTTGAAGACTTCAGTTTCACAGATAAGTCCTCGAATATTTCCTTCTCTATGAGGCTGCTTTTTTCGATATTTGAAAGAAATTGTTTAGTCTACTACTTTCGTGGGCTCTGTCCCATTCTCACCTCTGACTGAATGAGAAAAGTATGCGGTCGATTACAAGTAAGTAAAACAAATAAATATGCTTCAAGAGCTGCGGGAAGCTAGTTTCAAATTGTAACCTTAGTCTGTTTGTCTGCAAAATCTAATTTGAATTTCGCCGGAAATGAGCACGCTTACCACCATACTTTCACTATAAATTTGCTTTTTCTTGGAAAAATTTGTTGGGAAAGTGATTGTCGGATGGGATCTTGTTAACTATTCCCCCTCCCTCTTGCAGTAGGGGGGAAACAGTTAACAAGGTACAAAATTCGGATATGCTTAACTGTTCAATTCTTTCTTTATAGGGGGAGATACAAGGTACCATAGGGGGGAAAATAGTTAAGAAGATCCGTCGAATGTATCAAACAAAAGTGCATGGTATGTGTCAAAGTATGACAAGTAAGTCTACTTTTGTGAGAGTGTGTAGGTCTCGATGGACCTTGATAACCCTCAATTTTTTTGATACCTCAATGAACTAAGCCAGTGCTATGCTACTGCGCATGTGGGGGGGGGGGAGAGGACCGCTTTTATTCTCCTCAGGTGTTCAACCCCCTCGCCACCAAAAGGTTCCGTTTGGGTGCTATTTTATGATTTTCATTTTTGCATTGAGTTTTACGAAATGATTGAAACGGTACAATTTTTTTTTGGGTCGATGAGATGATTTAATACCACAAATTTGATTTTTTGCAACAAAGCAGATGAAAGCGAATCGAACTTCGGCCGGATAGGTTCGAGCAACTCCTTAGTGTAAAATTAAAACTTTATAGCCTAAAACTAATCCTAGACTTTATTTCCTGGTTTCAATATGTCTATAGGAATAATGGAATAGTGAGGTTGTAATGATTGAAAAACTTGAAAAACTGACGAACTAATCAAAAAAATTTAAAAAAAAACTTTTTTAAAACATTTTTTTTTTCAATTTATCCCCTCCACCCCCCCCCCCCCCGCATGCTACCGTAAACTACAAAGATATGTATTTTAGCGTCTTGTATTCTAATGATACGACCAAATGTCTCCCCTCAATTCAATTTGGAATGCATTAATCCGCCGCTCACGCGTGTTATAAGAACGCAATGTATCGCGTGTTAATTATCCCAAATTGGCCAAATTACCAGATCAATTTCTGGAATTGATCTGGTATTTTCTAGCAATTGTCATTTTAATCAATTTAAGCTAAAAGCTCAGGTTCAAAACATTCGCTGCCAGATTTTTTATGTAAAATTCAGAACAAGTCTGCAGAATTTTACAAGAATAAGATTTGGAATATTTTTTTTTCCATTGGGAGAGGGCTCTCTTGTAGGAAAAAGAATAAAAATAGCTCACAATTTTGTGGCACATATCAAAAAAGCTCCAATTAGTGCCTTTAGCTATTTTCTTGTTAATGAATGTAAAGTTTAATTTAGCGAACAGTTGGAAGTAGTCGTTCAGATTTTCAAAATTTCAACAAAAAAAAAGGAGGAAAGGCATTCAGGAACATAAGAAAAGACATCAAATTTCTCTAAATGTTCAAAACTGGCTGCTTTAAGTTATTTTCGAATTTTCTTATTACTGAAACCTGATGACTGACTTAATTTTCCGGCTTTCGGTCATTCTAGAACGAGAAGTTGCCCGCTCATTAAGTTTATGAAAACGCATAAAAACTCAAGTTACTATTTTTTTTGAATTTGTTAGAGAATTGACATGAATCCATTTGGATTGAAACAATATACATTTTTTAAATTAAAAAAAGTCAAAAAAGCGATATAATTTAATCCTTTTTATTCTCAAGGAAAAATTGTTTTCATACAAAATAAAAAATTAAATCCACCTTTTTGTTTACCATTATTGATTTTTGCTGCATATCTTACTTTAGTTTCACATGAACTCTACAGTTAACTCAAGAATCCAGTAGTCGGTTGAATATATAAAATGGTATATATGAGAATAAATTTTGAGACTACACTCAAAATAAAAAAAAATCAAAATGCATTCCACATTTCAAAAAGTTTTAGACAATTTTAACTGAGAAAATATACCATTTGAAAGAAAAAAAGGAGAAGTTGCTCAGCAAAAAGCCGTAAAATTCCGGCATCTTTCAAACAAAAACATTTAGCTGAGTTTTTAGAAAAGCGTTGTAATGTGCATAATATGAATAAAACATAACGAAACTAAATTTAATAGCAGTAAAAAAGTTTAATTAAATTTGGTTTTAGTCGAAATAGGATTAAAAAATCTAGAAAGTTTTAAATTTTTTAGCGAAATTTTAAAAAAAATTTCAAAACAAATTTTTATTGCCAATTAAAAGCTGTATCAAGCTTTGAACTTAGTTTTCTTGAGGTAACCTAAAAGATAGCATTCAGATAGCAGCTTAATTTTAGCTGATAAAATCCTCAACACGCTCGCTTCTTTCTAGCAGTTAGAACATAGTTGAAAGATGCCCGAGGGAAAAAGAGCCCGACCTGAAAGCACGAAGTGTCCCAGTGCGACTCTTTTGCCCGAGGCCATCTTCAACTATGTTCTAACTGTTGAAGAGTATGTTTTTGCTCTTTCTGAGGGAAAGATGCCAGAAAATTTCGAAAGAGCCCGGAAAATTGTGAAAGAGCCCGGAAACGTGCGCGAAACTATGCAAATGATTTTTTTCACTCATGCATTCTAGTATTTCATTTTTCATTCATGCCTTGTCGTGAAAGAACATGTGTGAAAGAGCAAAAACATACTCTTCCGCTCGTAACTTTTGGAAATTTTTAAGAAAGCATTCAAATCTCAACTGAGAGGGCATTAATATCTGTGGACCCCGTCAATTGATTATTTTTGATATCTGATTTCACGCGAAGAAAAACTAAAAACAAGGATAAAAGATTGCCCGTTGCTGTGCAAATGGCACAAAATTTCCGACAACAGAAATAACTAAAAAAAAGTGTTTCTTCTTTTCACATCGTAACGATTTTGTTCGTGAGGTGATGAGAGGATCTGAACGGAAGCCTTAAATATAGGCTGGGCATAATTGCAAGTAATTGCTAAAGTCATGATCGAAAAATGAATAGACAAACCAAGATCAAAGAAAATTCATAAAATTTTGCTGAAAATTTTTCTGAGTTTATCTTAACAATTTTGTCAGTTTTGACGGCTCAAAAATATTTGTTATCCTTGCATAAGCCTGCTTGCTTGCTTTGTTTGCTCCTCCCCATTTTCAGTGGTCGGAATTGTAAATAAAATATACCTGATAGATCTTCCCCACTTTCCGTGGTTGAACGAACTATGAACTCAAATTTACTTTAAAGAAAAGGTCGGTTTTTTTGCTTGATACATTCAAAGATACAGCGTTACACTATTTTTTATCTAAGATGGCTGGAAATTGACTCTGGCTTCTATTATTGCACTTGCGAAAGTAAGTATCTTGTTTATTTGTGCCTTTCAAGAAAAATTCAGCATAGTGTTTTCACCGTTTGCGAATGGTACAGCCCTTTAAATCTAAAAAAAAAAATATTTTGCTCTTCTTCGAAAGCCGGAACAATTTTACAACTGGTAAAATTTTGACATTGGTCGGACTAAATTAAGTTCTCATCATACTTCTGAACTCGATAAATTGAAAAGAGGCATACACTTAATATGAAAACTGTTTGATATGATCAATTATGGGTGGTTTTCAGCTGTCACTCTGTGTTGCCTTACCTGCTATATCCACTAGGTTATTACTTGTTTACATGTCATAAACAGATTAACCCATTATTTGAAATCCCTGCATGAAATACCAGTTTCGTCAAATACCATAAACAGTACATAGATTGCTATCATATTTGTTGAATAGGTCTTTCTTTAAGCGGGACCAGATATTTAGAGTTCGTTCAAACAGTTCAATATCCTTGGGGTGAAAAAGTTCGGACATTTCCTGAAGTGGAGTTTTCTGTTGGTTGAAAGCTCTTGTTTGTTTCGGTTCTGGTGGTGGGTGAAAACGCTTCAAAGGCTAGTCATAAAACACCTGATTACCCAATATTTCATCATATAACTTCAACTGGGATGAAAACTAAAAGAGCAAAGCATGGCGTGAAGTAGGACAAATCTACCCCTTTGGTTAATTTTCTTACTATGTCTGAGTATTACAACTCCAGTTGAACTGACTGTTTTCCCGCTTTAAAACAACCTGGAAAGGCTGGATCTTATTTCATTGGTTTTAATAAAACGCTTGGGTGTTGTCTGAAAACAGATTGCGCCTCAGGAAACCTTAGTTTGGACCCAGAAAAAGATTCGAGAACCTTTTAGTCTCAAATACAATAATTCTTGGTGACGTAAGAAAAATATAAGTTGGTTATGTGATAAACAATAGACCATTTTCAGACCAAAATCAGATAAATTACCCTATAATACCATACCCAGGGAATCCAAACTTTTATGCGGGAAAGATTTCAAATCTTTGACTTTGCGTTGTAGACAAAGCTAAGACGTTTTTAATGTCGCTTGTATTTCAGGCGTATTGAATGTCAACAACTTCCATTCAAATCTTGAGGATTAAACAAATTTGTAAATGCTAGCATTATCTTTAGAATTGCAGATATATCTTCTCAATCCCATTTTATTCGATCTTCATACCAATTGGCAATAAATTTTTCAATTAAGGCTTTCGATAACGATTTGTCGACTATTCCACAGTTACTGTTGTACCCATGATTTTGGCAAGAATGAGATTTCTGAATATTCATTAACTTTTGAATGAACCGCATTTTTACCCGCGGCATGGATCTCTTCTCCATTCGGTTATGGAAATAGTTCTTTGATATGTAAAAGGCCCCCAACAATTCGGAGAGCTGTACAAAATAAACTGGAGCCAAAACTTAACTTAACTCTCTAAAGATATTATTTCATGACCTGAAAATATCAAATATCAACTCTGGTCATTGTGCAATTTCAACTTGACTTCACCCGATAGATTTTACGATCGATACGAATTATTTAATGAGTAGTTTAGTCGTTTGCTTGTCGTTACTTAATTAACATCACCTGATGATTCTCAGACAGTTATCTGGGGACCGAAGGGTTACTATTTATCTGCTGGCATGTCTGGCGCTTATTGGGTGGGGTCATTCGGCTGCAGACAAAGATCAACCGAAAGGCACCCAAGATGTGCAAATCCTCAATGTTGGTAAGTACTTACTCAAACATAAACACTTTTTTGTTCTGACCACAGTAGGTTATTTTTTTTTCGCCCGATTCCAAAAATAGGTTCTCTCCGTGTCGAGAAAAACTGGTCTGAATTTTTGCTATGCAGTCAAGCTGATTTACCGCTAGGAAATTAAATGAGAAATGCAAATATTACAAAAATAGACATCTGATTTTGCTGTACTTTTTTGCATGGAATTTCATCATTCCTGATGGTATATTTCAACAACTTTAACTTTATTTTCAACAAGTTCACTTTCCGACTTTAAGTTTGACAACTCAAACATTGAATTTTAAAACATAATCTTCAATTTCAATAAAAAGCATTGAATTTCAACAAAAAAGTTTCTAGATTATTATTTGTCAAAAGAGCAATATATCTTCGAATATAAATCAGGCTCAGAGAGTGAATGCTGATGCATGTTGAATGATTTTTGATGCAAATTGAATGATTGTTCGTGCTGTGAGTATGTTGGATTTCAAATGCAGCTGTTAAAATTAGCCACGCGAAACTGCGACAAAAATTAACCAAAAATTACCTGTCGAACATAAAATACAGGAAATGGTCTTAATTTTTGTTTTAAATTACAATTAAGAACGATGAAATTAAATGCAGAAAAGTATAACAGTCTTAATCATATAGGATAATACTCTCAGTTTTTTTAGGTCTGATTTTCATTTTTTCTTCGACTCAAAAGTTGACCTGAAAACTTTTCACCTAACTTTTTTGGTTTTATCAAAAATAGTTAAAAATTTTGCCCTTTACAAACATATCGAATACAAGCACAATAAAAAAACCTGGACAAAAGATCATAATGTTAGGTTTCGAACTTACAATGGTCTTGGAATTTATATAATTTTGTTCTAAAAGTGCGCATAAAAATTCTTTATAAGTTGCCATAAAAATGCCATTTTTCGTGCACTTAATTAAAAATACAAACACAAGTCAAATCAATGAACCATTATTAGCAGTCTAAGCTAACAAAAATAGCAAATTCTGTTTCACCATAATTTTTTTAGATTTGATCAATTGTCACCTGTAGAAAAATTCTCATTAAGAGATGAAAAAAACTTGAGCAAAAAAAAACAAGACTGTTCATATATCAGGGAAAAGCCATGAATTTTCCTACTGCCCCTTGATTCATATCGAAGAGATTTTTTGGAAAGAGGGTTTTTTCAAATGTTTTTGGATTTTTTCTAGTGTAAAAATTTGAGACGTACGAAATGAATACGATCGATTAGCTAGCCTCACCTTAAATTAGAACTATTTTGTTGATCGGGATATTTCACCACGCATAAATACTTTGCGTTGCGCTTTCGGGATTATGGATGAAATCTTCAAAGTGCGCATATATTAGTCCAGAGCATGGCTAAATTGAAAATTTTCAGACGTCCAAAATTTTGCGAAAATTGATCATTAGTGAAGTATTTTTGTAAATTTGATTTCAAGGAGTTGATATCTTCAAATAGGCAGAAAAGTTTAATGTTAAAAATATTGTTTCGGCTGCCGAAAATTGACTGATTGAAAGAAAACCACAGTTGTGTCAGTTGTTAAAACTTTATCAACTGACACAATTAATTTCCCGAGCTTTCCCAAAGCGTTAAAAAACCTGTTATGGCCACATTTTCTGCGCCGCAAGCAAAACTTTGAAAAAACAGGCCAAAAATGGCGTTTTTAGGCACTTTAAAAAAAATTTGACCAAAAAATTGGAACTTCCCCCTCAAAATTAAAAAACATTGACACTGAAGGAACTTCGTAATTTACTAAGTGTCTCTTATCTGACTACAGATTTTTTGTAACATTATAAACAAATATTACGAAACCAAAGTGTGTACTTGATATGCGCAAAATTTTGTATTTTTTCCTGGACTCCATAAAGGAACAATAAAAAACAAAAGAAAAAACAATAAATGCAATAAAACAATAAAAAAAAGAAAAGAAAAAAACATTATGAGAACAAAGAGAGCATCTGTTTTGTCGAATTCGCATGCAATTCACAAAATGCACAGTTTGGCCTCCTGATTAACTGAAAAAAATTTCTTATGTTTTCTAGATGAGTTTTTTTAGACTTTTTGAAACTCTTAGACTTCACTACGTGAACAGTTCGATATTTATGTATTTTTACGTAGGCTAAACACTTCGTATGTTCAATCTGATTTATAAAGGTTTCTCATGTGGTTGCTCAATATTAGGCTAAACAGAAAAAATTTTCAAGTCTCTTGACATAGCAAGTTTTTTGAACATTTTCGAATTGCGATCAAATCAGGATTGAAGAAGCAATAATACGATACATCAGTTGATCTAAGCTGATGATTGCTTGTGGTACCTGATTTTGCGTGACAAATGAAAATTAAATCACTTAAATATAAAGATCACCTTCCCTCTTACTGTTCAGAACGATTATGATAAAATTGTGGACTGTGTAATTGAAATCAACATTATTTTCTTTCATGATGTTATATTCATGACTTTTCTTTTGTGCATGTCATTTTGTCCATTAGTTTTATTTTACATAGGCGTGAATCATGTTCTGAAATCGTATTTTATATCCAAGACCTGCAAAATCTTTCTTTAAAATTATTTGTAAATCTTAATCATAGTCTGAAATTGAACGATTCAAAATAATATAGATGATTATGCGATTAAAAACAAAGAACTTTTGAAACCAGAATAACCTGTTAATCTGTGCCAATTGTTCCATCTTTTAAGCGCAAACATTGTGGAAGACTGTAAAAATTTATTTGAGCTTTCTAATACAAGGCGTAAATTATAATTCGTCACTCTTAAGTAGTCTTAAGAGTTATTTTCCCCCATTTTTTTTCTCTCGAAACAGCATAGTCTTTAAGTTAGACTTTCGTTGGTGGTCGGAAAAAAATTAGAATGATTCCAGTCGATGTTTACATTTTAATTTTTTTAAACTTAGTAAACTTTTCGATGCATCCGATAAACGTTATCGCTAGATATACCTGAATATGCCAATTTTTGGTAGGCTACTGCTATTTTATTTAGAATAAGCACACTATTATTAAAATCTAATTTAAATGTAGTTTCAAGCCTCCATCCCTTTATCTGCAACAAAATTGCAAAAATAATAATTTTAAACTTGCTCGCTTAAGCAAAACTTTGTCAGGGGAGGTTTAAAACAAGTGTTGTTGTTGTATTTTAGGATGGATTGGTAAGCCAAATCTGTCGAACTAGAAAGATACACTCTATAGTTAAAATTCATTGCAACTCCATATTATCTATGCAACTATATTTAATTACGCCATGTTTGTGTTCGTTTTCCGAAAAATAGAGAACAATTTTTGCTTTGATTGAACTTTTGTAGTAAAAAGAGAGGAAAAAAAACAAACAATAAATGAGATTATATTTGGAGACTTTTTTGGAATATCTGATGAAAGATTTGCTCAAAATCTAAACAAAATGCAGGCCGGCAATTTGGTTGCTGTATCAAATAATTGCTAAATCAATTAAGGCCTGCAAAATTCGATCGTAAATTTTTTCGGTTTTGTTGGGAAGGAAGACATTTATGCAATTGCATTTGGCTTATATAACATTTCGTCCGTAATTTGAAAAGTTCCATCGGCTACATAGAAAGATGATATTTACAACGCTCTCAGCATTTCAGGGTCGCCGCATAGAATGATTTTCTGTCATATCGGATGGAAATTCCAAAATTTTCAGGAATCTCGAAATTTTGCGAAACGGGGATGGGTGGCATAAAATTATCTAGCTGCTTACGGTGCGGGCAGTCGTTCAAATCAGTTTGTTTTCAGTTGGAAAGGCAAATTGAGAGGCCAAATCTTTTGTTTCCGGCAAAACCACACTAGCAACTGCGACAGTCGGTGTACATCTCTCACTGAGTCCTTCTATATTTTAGATCACGTTTCGGGCATCTGATTTTCACGCTAAAATATCATGATTATGCTCTCCACGCGTCTCCATCAACTCGTTTGTTTCTGTAATAGTAGATGCTTGACGTTTATGCATTTGTCTCTTTGAGCGTATACAGTTTTTGTTATATTTATTTTTTCGCTTCAATTAATATTTTTGGCACGATGCTATTAGATTGGGCTTGTTTTTGGATGAACCTGTGAATTGGAAAGAAGACTCAATAAGAACTTGTGTTCGGTGCTTGCAATTGTTTCCAACTTAATTTTAGCATAAAATGACTGTCAGAGTTTTATATTTGTCTTAAATATTAAGTCAAATTGTTGTGTATTAGCACAAGCAGGATTTTTAAGTAATCATAATGGTTCAGTTTTCAACATTTAATTGAAAACAAATTACGAACTTGTCGATGAGAATTTCAAGTATTTGCGAAACCTCATTTTAGCAAGTAAAACTGAGTTAAACCAAGTTTTTTAATGTGATGTGCGCGTTGATTGTAGAGTTAACTTCAGCGTCATAGGAGTTAAGGCAAGGACTTCAAACAGCATTAATTTCGATATTAAGTTATAAAACAGGAGTTAAATTGTTGTGAATTAACCTGTTTAAAAGAAGTAATGAAATGACTAGGTAGTAAAGTGTACGGTGGTGAACTGTATGTATCAAGTGGTAGGACAGCGTTTTTGAAACATTGGATTTTTTTTGATTTTTCAGGAGTGCTAATCGAGGACTCTTTTTTGCACCGCACCTTCTTCAACTTCGCCCTGAACCGGACGAACACGGAGATGGCCAGAGGCAGTATGCCCTTCAGATTCAGACCACTCTTCAGGATAGTGAAGAACGTCAACCACGTCTTGGCTGCTGGTACACTTAGCTCACTATTCTTTTCTCATAGCAACAGTTGCAGGTTCACGAACTCGATTCTGTATTCAGTTGGAAGATCCTCATTGTGCTGAAAAGACCATTTTAGCTGATCAATTATTACTTTTTTCCAAGTGCTTTTTTTCGAGCCAGTATTTACAAGTTTTAAAAGACCCTATTTTTGGAAAAAACCATCTTCGAAAAAACCCTAAAACGACTTTTTGACAACTTTTCTAAAATATTGTTTGCTTGTTTGATAAAATAGCGTCTTATAAGTGCCTTTGGGGAGCTGAGAAAATACTTTAGTGTGGCTTTAAAAAACCGACAACAAAAAACTTAATCTATCCCCGCAAAAAAAATTAAATTTGGTAGAACGATTTTGGTACATTATAAGAAAGTTACATGGTCGATATTCTTATGTTAGAAAATATATAAAAACTGCTGAAATACTATTGAAACCAGTGATGTTCTTCAATGAATTTAACTTAAAAAACGGTCTATTTTTACAAGTGTGTGACCTTCTGGCCTTCCGCGATGGTCAGTCCAAACCCGGCATTGTGGCCATCTTCGCCCCCAAGGACAGTCTGTTCGCAGCCATGGTGCAGGACTTCGGAGACTCCTATTCCATCCCAGTGCTGCACTACAGCCAGGCATTCCAGCCGGACAGGAGTCCAGACAGTGTCTTCATCAACTTATATCCCCACTTTTCCACGGTTAAGGTTCTGCTCAGGGATACGGTTGATTTTTACAACTGGACGAAGTTCGCAATCCTGTTTGAAGATGAAGGCAGTGAGTTTGTTCAATCATAAGTTTTTTTTTCATCTAGACATAACAGTTTTTAATAATAGTCATCAAATTTTCAGAGGTTGTGTAAGATTGTTCTCATTGCTTTCTTTAATTTTTTTTTCAAATTTTGTCCAACTTAAATCGTCATAAGCATTCCAAGTTTATGGACGACAAAAAAAATCAGAAATTTTCAAAAGTTATAAGGATGCCTGTATGTATGCTATAACAATCAATGGAGGATATAGGGTTTTCTCGAGGGGTGGATTTTCAAAAATCTTTCGATAGTTTTTCGACCTCTTCCAAGGTTGACCAAAAATTCCTCTCAGAGCATTTCCAAAACGTTAAACAGATCCTGTCTAGCCAAAGTTTTCTGCGCCGCGTTCAGCTTTTTTTTTCAAGAAAAAATTTTTGAGGGCAGTTTTTGAGTTTTGACAAAAAAATCTTGTTTTTCGGTGCGCACTCTCCTCGGCGCGTTTTTCGGCGCGCAAAATTAGTGTTTATTGGAGCCAAATGTGTCTCTAGAAATATTAAAGGGTTGATCGGCCAAAATTGGATGTCATAAATAGTATCAAAGGGGGATCTCTAAAACGAGCTCATAAGATATTACAAAGTTTCAGTTTTAATTACAATAGTTATAATAACTATAAAGGTTTCCACAACTTGGAGCTAGTGATGCGAGACGAGGAAAATGGAAACAAGTCGTTCATGGCGTGGAAATTGGGAACGAACGACGAAAAGAAAGCAGCGATGAGTCTGAAACAGTTCAGAGATGCCAATCTGTTCAATGTCATTGTCCAGACATCCCAGACAGACTTGAGACCCCTTCTGGACAAGGTACGATTTCAATGCTGGTATCAAGAGAACACTTAGAATGTACCCTCCTTGGGTAGAATCAGTAGTGGTGGTGTGGGTGGGGGGATTGATGGCAACTTAGTTCGCGAAACCGACTCCTTTTCTTCTTAATGATGTTTGAATTCATAAGATAATCTTTTTTTAACTGACTCCTTTTCAGTTCTGGTCCAATTTTGACTCTTTTTAAAGCCATAATCTTTTGAAAAATTTAGGAACTAGCAGATAAATTTGCGAACTTATTTTTTAGATATGTAAGACTGGATTTTTTAATAACTTTTTTAAACGATTTATTATCAATTTTAACGAATAATTTCAGCAGCGTTCATTATCCAGAAAATTTTGGGAACTCTTGATAAATTCTTAGTTTTTTTTCGTGTTTCAGATGCAAAAGATGCAGATTTTGTCCTCCAAATATCATTACATCTTCAACAACTTCGTAAGTCTTTTTGATCAAGACTTATTTTAGAATTAAGAATATAATGCTTTTTGCTAATGAGGACGACCCTTACACATTCAGTTCGTAAGAAGTTTAGCCAGTTCAGCCCAAAAATTTAAAGCTTCTTCAGTCAAAGAAAATCCAGATTGTCTGGGTTTCGAGGACATAACGGAACTTCAATTGGCAGTAAACGGGAATGCGACTACTGGCTATATTAATAACCCCATTAGTTGTGAAAATATTCATTTTCTGGTCTGCCCTAGACAACAAAAAGAGTTTTCGGTTTTATTGCTGAATTTCAAGGTGTTCGTTAAGTTCTTTTTTATGGGGTATATTTTCCAGCACTCTGCCGATTTCGACCTCCGTTCATTCTTGGAGGGTGAGCTGAACTTCACTGCTTTCCGGCTTCTGGACCAGACCACAGATGAGTTCCGGAGGGTGGAGAACAGCTTCAAGTGGACAGTGGTGAATGCGGCCTTCGCCAGACTGGTGCCACCTGGTTATGACATAGACAACCCGATCACGGTTAGTTTGCTCCTGTTGGCTGTGTTCTATTTTTTAAATGAACAAATAACTATCCTAGAAACCAGTGAAAAATAGTAGTATTTGATTTGGTGTTATTTTTCCGCAGAAAGATTGGTGCATCTTGGTCGCTAGTTATAGTCGATTGGGGCATCGCAGTTGAAGGTATTTGAAGTTATTTAAACAAAAATCACGAAAACTGTAATTGGTCAAAAAAAATTGAAACCGGTCATTCTGTATCAAGAGGCTACCTTCGTGGAACCCATTCGAATTGCCTAAGTCTTGCATCAAATTCTCCATTTGGAAAGAAAACAGGAAAACATCTAGTTAAAGTTTAGAGGGAAATGAGCTATCATTAAAATAAGACTATTTTAATCCCTATGTAACTCTTTACAGATAACCTCTATTGTTGTCCTACTTAAGAGTATAATTGCAAATTCTTGGCTCTTTATTTCGGCTGAGTAAGGTTGACTCACCCTCAAGCAACATGCGCGGATCATGGTGGGCCTCGATCTACCACTCTTTCGGCAGACAGTGCCAAGACATAGCCACTTCACCTCCGCTCTCAAAACATAAACTTTTGTTTCAGTTTGACTTCGCTCTGATTCTGGACTCGATGCAGTTGTTGCGAGTGGGACTGCGGGAGATGCTGACGAGCACTGCATTCCAGCACGACATCATGGAGTGCAATGGGGACGACTTCTGGCGACAAGGACTCACTTTCACAAATTTCATTCGATTTGTAAGTCGACTGCTCTTTAACTGGAGATATAATTTTTTTTTACCTTCCCTCGTAGTCCATTAGTTTGAAGCTTTCTAACAATGACCAAAAGCTGCGAAAATGTTTTTTAGAGATACTCCCCCCCCCCCCCCCACTCCTTTCGCATCTATTTTTCTATACATTTTGCCATTGATTTTCGTCGCTTAACGCTCACTAAATGTGTCATTTTGTATTCTAAAATTTGTCGGAAAATATCTCCCAGTGGCCTATCGGAAGGGGGGAGGGAGGCTACATGCACGCCGGACTTCAAACCAAAACTTGTTCCCATAAACATTTTGTGTCTCTGGAGTGGCAATCACGCAAAAATTAGCATGCTATCAGCCTAATTGCAATTATTAACGCTGAAAATCAACAACTTGCAACAACTTGCAACGTAATGCAACAACTTGCAACAGAAGGCGACTCGCAAAAAAAAACACTCATTCATAGACAACTGGCAATATACTCACTGTCGCAGCCGCACCAAAGTGTGCGAGTTTGCCAACGGAGACTAGATTTTTATACAAAGTTTAGGGCCAATTATTGCGGCGTAGTCCACCCACCGGTGACCTTGAGGCAAATTTGTTAAGTTAAAAACTGATTTTAGAATTATTGCGAGTTTTCATTTTGCTGAAATTTTGGTTTTCTTCTGTTGCGAATTGTTTTTGTTTTTGCTACGAGTCGTCGCGGTATCAAAAACATTGACAATCCAGCATATCGCACCGCTACAAAACACGTAAATTACCTTTTTTCAGGAAAGTTTAATTGGTGAGTTAATGATTCTGTATTTTGGGCAGACTTTTAGTTTACGCAAGTTGCTAGATTTTCTTGAATTTTGAAAAGACGTTTGTTTAAAGTTTGTTCGTTTAGTACGGTCATTTATGAACAGCCTGTATGATCACTTGTTCTACACAATCTATGTATTGTTCATTCGGTTTTGTTTTTCTTTCCCACCTCATCAAGAGTTCTTGTACGGCCATGCTAAGCATTGAAAATCACGTATACATTTCTCGGTCACGATAAAAAAACTGTTTTATTTACAACATTTTTCTGTGACCAGTTTTTTGCTCAATAAAAATGTTTGTTTGGTGTTTAAACCTGACACTTGGCAGAGTTTTGAAACAATTGCGCTGAGGGAATCGACTTAAAAACAGTTAAGTTTGCTTTTTCCATTTAACTTAAAAAACCAATATAAGGTGTTATTTTTAAGATTCAATTTTCAACGCGAAACCTTATGTTTTGAGTCTGAAATAAAAACATGGTGTTTGGTGCTATGGGGTTGACGTTTAAAATTTATTTTAGTGTGTTGATTTTTGTTTAATGCGTTGTTTATCAAAAATTGTCCTAAAAAAATCAATGGTTTAGTATAAAACACCCTAATATTTTCCTTTCCGTTAGGTTTAAATTATGTTAGGGTGGGTTAAAATCTAAAAACAAAATTCAAAAAAGTTGAGGATAAACCTCGAAAAAAGATGAAGTGTTAAATTAGTTAGCAACATAAGAAAAGAATCAGCTACATGTGTGATGAAAAAATCATTTTTTCATACAACTCAGAGTACATTTAGATTGCATGTAGGAAAAATAGATTGCATCATTGAAAAAATGAAGTTGATGAATAGTATTTTTTAGAGCACTAAAGATGAATGAGAAAATGAAAAGGCCTAATGATACTAAGTTTGATTTAAGGTTTTGTTATGTATTTTTTCAATTGAGTGAAGATTTAGACAAAAAAGTTATAACCTACAAGGGTCCTAAGGCAATGAACGATTCCTGAGGAATTATTTAAGAAAAGAGAGCCGTAGAGTTTAGTTTGAGTCGGAGTTAAATTGTGGGTTACTGATGAGGGCTGGGAAATTTTTCTATCTGAACTTAAAAGGGAAAATCTGGCAAAACAGCGGCAATCAAATTGTAGAACTCCAACTATATATACTCTGTCTATGGTTTTATTTAGATTGGAAACTTCTGACAGAAGCTCACAATCCTAAAAGTTTTTTTTAGATTTTTTGAATTTTTATGTTTTTTTTATTGAGTTGTTTTGATTCAAAAATAAATTTTAAGGTGTAGTTCTCTGCTGCCACTGCAGCAATTTTACTAACCGTGACACGGGCTTTCGTGTAGTCTTAGATGGTCAAACTTCTCGACAAAAGTTATATTTAAAGCAATAATGGAAAAGAGTATAACTTTAAAAAATAGTAGCTAATGATAAAAATATTTTTAAAAAATTGAATGAACAACTGTCTATTATTCCACTAGAGATGAGGTCAATACCTAGTTTTAACTTTTGATTTAACACTTTCTATGCCTCTGGTCCGCGTCTGGATTGCTGATTGATTTGTGCTCCTATTATCTCTCTGAGTAATGCGTCATCCTTTCTTCTAGATCCCTGCTGTTGTTTTTTCCCGAACTTCTGAAAATGCTAGGATCTTATCTTTGCAAGCCAAAAAAAAACTGAGAAAATTTTTCAAGAAAACATTAGCTCGATTGATTGAATGAAAATGAGAGTGGGAAAAACTTACAAAAGTTTAGAGCGGTCCAATCTCAATGAGATAATGCTTCAATGTACCTTTGTCTAATTCTAATCTTTGTAGGATTTTGTTTCATCGGATATCTGTTTTTATATCCGACAAAATAGTCCCTGAAAATCATTGGGTATTCTAAAAGGAATTTTATCTTGAAATATTGAAAAAAGTCTGCTAGTCTTTAAAAAGTTAGCAAATATAAAGTGGAAAAGAGTCCACTCTAATTTCATGCAAGCAATTAAAACAGTTGTCTTTAATGTCCGTGTAGTCATTGCCATTCTACAGCTTGAATCAATATTTTTTTGCAAAAAAATTAACCCAGGTGGAGGTTCAGATTTTTGGACAGATTAAGGCGGCCGAATTTTGGTAATTCCAGATTGTCGGGAGCCATTTTTTTTTAAACAGCCGCGACTAAAAAGACCGTGCAGATGAAGCATGTTAATTGCCATCTTTCAGGTTCAAAAATTTTCTAGAGAGTATATCACTTTGCTACAATTTAGGACAATTTTCTGGCCTTCCAACTCAAAAATTTGTTTGTCTGCAGATCTAGGATTTTCTCGAAGGGGGGAGGGGGCGGATTTTCAAAGAAACTTTGAAAATTTTGTCGACTTTTTTTTTAGGTCGACCAAATTGATTTTCTGAGCTCTCCCAAAACACAATAAAGACCCTAATTTGACCAAATTCCCTGCGCCGCAGCCAAATTTTTGAAAAAAGGCCAAAAAAGGCTTTTTTAGGCACTTTTTGGAAACTTTTGACCAAAAAGTTGCGCTTTTTCGGGGCGCGTTTCTACCTAAAATTTTGCATAGATTGGCGCCAAAGGCGCCTTTAGAAAAATTTTATGGTCCGACTCCTAAAACGTATATCTCAAAATAGTACAAGGGGGACCCGTTGGGTCGGCAGGGGGTCGAATCGCTGAGGGGAAAGCGTCCGCTCCCTCCCCCCCCCCCCTAAATCCGCCTCTTTCTACAGCCATCTCTAGTGGCAATATGTACTAGCTTTGAGGGAGAACGCGCACAGGAGAACCAGATTATCACCGACTAATTTTCAGATATACCACGAGTTTGTTTCAGACTATCGCTACTATTTACAGAATATATCGCGACTAATTTGCAGACTATGTCGTGTGTTTTTTCTATGCTATGGCTACTTATTTTCATACTATTCCAGACTATCGCGACTAAAAAAATCGCTCTTTTGTCAGCTAGTATCAAAGCTTGACAGGAGAATGTCTTTTAGGTCGCGAAATTAACATCGGCGCGACTATTGAAATCTAAAAATGAGTCGCGGAACTCGACCAGGATAGCAAGATTTCCCAAATAAGCTTCATTTTTAGTAATGCACACTATCTTGTCCGGTGAGTCTTAATGATTCACTATTGGTTTCTGTTCAATCTTGACCTAAAACAGAGTTAAAGGTTTTGCTCCGATTTGATTCAACGTTTATTATAAAACACAAATATTATTATAATTGAGAGTGAAAACTTCTTGAAGCCAGCCTTGTGATAACATTTTGACAGTGCTTTTGAGATCAAATAACAAAATGGTTGGAAAGGAGGTAGTTTAGTGTGATAAACTTTGCCTTAATGAAGGATTAAACAGATTTGAAAGGACACCAGAAAGCCATGAAACTCTTAGATCTTTCCATTGAAGACTTGTTCAGTGAAATATTATTTTGTCAAATAAACAAAAACACACCGTAGTCAAAAAAGACTCAGTTACGTTAAAGCTCTGAAGCCTCCGTCTGCTCTTTTTATACTTTGACTGGTTTATTCTCTCTCAAACATTTCACGAGTGGTTAGACTGGGTTGTTAGCTGACAGAAAAAAATCTCTTGAAAACCTTATAGAAAAATGCCTATTTCGTTTGATTCAGACTGAAAAAAAAATTAAACATACAAACAAAAAAAACATTCGTTCAGAAAAAAACTACTTTAATATATTGTGACAGGCTCTTCAAAAACATAAACTCTTACAAGAGCTTTAAGCTGGAATTTCAATTTTGAGTAGTAGCAAAGCTGACCCACAGAAAAAAAAATTTCAAACTCGTCTCAAGCATTTTGAAAGCGCAAATGTTGATTTAACGTAAAATTGACAAAACAAACTATTATATGGAATCAGTAGGGAGCGGGATTCGACCTTGAGCTCGACATTCGATTTTAGTAGGAGTTAGACTGTTTCACAAAACAGGCTGTAAAGTATTGCAAAAATGCCAATACTTGGGTTTTTATTCAAGTTTTGCCCCTTTCGAGCTTGCCCTTTCGAATTCGTCTCAAGCAATTTGAGAGCGCAAATTTATTGGTTGTTCTACAAAAATTGACCTAAAAAGTTTCAGTGGCGTGCCGAAGGAAGAGACATTCTACCTTATGCTGGTTATTTGACTTTGAGTAGGAGCAAAACTGTCCCACAAAAAAAAATAAAATGTCCCAAAACTGTCAATACTTGGGTTAACATTTCGAATTTTGCCCCTTTGGAACATTTAAAAATCCAATTCGTCTCAGGCAATTCAAAAGCGCATTTTTATTGTTGATTAGCGTAAAATTGTCAAAAAAGTATAATATGGTAATATTAGCGTGTCAAGGAGGGTGATTTGACTTTGAGCTGGACATTCGACCTTGAGTAGGAGTAAATATGTCCCACAAAAAAAACAGTAAAAACCCCAAATATGCCAATACGTGGGTTACCTTTTCAATCTTTGCCTGTTTCGAGTATTGAAATTTTCGAATGTCTCCCAAGCAACTCAAAAGCGCGATTTCAAAGTTGATTTACCAAAGTGACAAAAATGTAATATATAGTCAGTAGCGTGCCAGGGGGGAGGGAGGGCATTCGACATTAAGCTGGACGTTCGACTTTGAGTAGGAGCAAAACTGTCGCAGCAAAATTTCTTAAACTTGAGTTACTCTTTCAAATTCTGCCCCCTTTGAACGTTGAAAGTAATTCATAAGTTCAATTTTAATAACGTAAAATTGCCAAGACAACTAATGTTTGGTGTATGGTAACAGTAGCGGCGTGCCGAGGAGGAGGGTTTGACTTTGA